TATTTACGTTAAATCTTTGTCTCCTACTGTTTACCGTTCTTTTATGTATATAAAATATATTTACTTGATTCCACTACTAACTACGGTCGAAGATGTTGTGTTAGTCTCCCATTACACGATCACCATTTTCAGTTTTCATCAATTTGGGCACTACAGTCGACTCACAACCTGATATGGTCCCGGGTTCGATTACCATACAGTTCAAGACGTTTGGGCACACTCACGCTCTTAAATGGGCTCCACTGAAGCTGATACTGTGCTACACTCACGTCCACACAAGGCCACACTTACACACTACACTAAAATGGAAAGGCAGAGATTCTCATTCTTTGTATTAAAGGATTTGTGGTAATTTCCGTCGAATGCCAGCTTGAATAGAAGCTTTCGAGAGGCGGGACCATGGAGCTGAAGCTCAACTCACCCTCCTCCCCCCCCTCGCAAGCACAACTATGCGAGTACAATTATGCGAGTACAACTAGACTGCGTACACTAGGTGAGTACACTAGGTGAGTACAACGTGAGTAGTGTCCCCAATACTTCTCGTTTTCTTTGATACATGTATTCTCGTTTTCTGTTGCCCCATCTCCTAATATTTATTTTTTATTCTCATTGTTATTATTATCCCCATTACTTCTCGTTTTCTTTGATACATGTATTCTCGTTTTCTGCTGCCCCATCTCCTAATATTTATTGTCTATATTCCTTATTATTATTCCTCCGACCATCTATTATGCTCATGTTTATTTAATTATTTCTTTTGTATCTTTCGCATTTATTCATTTCCTGAAACCGGTTTTCGATCTTGACGCTGCCAGATGTTGCAATTTGATTGATTTTGTGTCGGTGAGTTATATGGGTGCAATTTGCATAACAAAGTTTAAATTTCAAGTATTTCGTGGTTGCAATGAATTAAAATAATTTAGTTTTAATTAATGTAACTGGTTGATGACAATGGTTTAACTCTATCATGAATATGTGATTGGCGGATTTGCATGTGATTGGCTGAGTTATTAAGGATATTTCAATATTTTGGCCTGTATGATGCACTATAGTATGAGTTTGATATATGTATATGTATATATATGTATATGTGTATATGTATATATATATATATATATATATATATATATATATATATATATATATATATATATATATATATATATATATATATATGAGAGATACGGAGCTACGAGGGAGTGAGAGATTATAGTTGGCTTTGCTTAGAGAAACTGATGTTTTTTGTGCTAAATGTTGGCTCACTCTGGCTTGTCACTCTGGGTTAGTGTCACTCTGGGTTAATGTCACTCTGAGTTAGTGTCACTCTGGGTTAATGTCACTCTGAGTTAGTGTCACTCTGGGTTAATGTCACTCTGGGTTGATGTCACTCTGAGTTAGTGTCACTCTGGGTTAATGTCACTCTGGGTTAGTGTCACTCTGGGTTAATGTCACTCTGAGTTAGTGTCACTCTGGGTTAATGTCACTCTGGGTTAGTGTCACTCTGGGTTAGTGTCACTCTGGGTTAGTGTCACTCTGGGTTAATGTCACTCTGGGTTAATGTCACTCTGAGTTAGTGTCACTCTGGGTTAATGTCACTCTGAGTTAGTGTCACTCTGAGTTAGTGTCACTCTGGGTTAATGTCACTCTGGGTTAGTGTCACTCTGGGTTAATGTCACTCTGAGTTAGTGTCACTCTGGGTTAATGTCACTCTGGGTTAATGTCACTCTGGGTCAATGTCACTCTGAGTTAGTGTCACTCTGGGTCAATGTCACTCTGAGTTAGTGTCACTCTGAGTTAGTGTCACTCTGGGTTAATGTCACTCTGGGTTGATGTCACTCTGAGTTAGTGTCACTCTGGGTTGATGTCACTCTGGGTTGATGTCACTCTGGGTTGATGTCACTCTGAGTTAGTGTCACTCTGGGTTGATGTCACTCTGGGTTGATGTCACTCTGGGTTGATGTCACTCTGGGTTGATGTCACTCTGAGTTAGTGTCACTCTGAGTTAGTGTCACTCTGGGTTAATGTCACCCTGAGTTAGTGTCACTCTGGGTTAGTGTCACTCTGGGTCAATGTCACTCTGGGTTAATGTCACTCTGGGGTCAGAGGCACTACTCGTTGTCACAGAGTGTTGGGACTGCTTGGCACTCAGGATTGGCACTGGGCTCCGGGTGTAGTTACTCACGGCTCACTCTACTAAATGTCTGCTTTTTTTTTATCTACCCCTGTCAATTCCTTTGAGAATTTTGTAGGTGGTAATCATGTCTCCCAAAGCTCTCCTGTCGTGCAGTGACGTGAGGTTTAATTCCAACAGCCTTTCCTCATAACTCATACTTTGTAGTTCCGGGACTAGTTTGATGGCATATCTCTGATCTTTCTCTAACTACACAGGTGTGTGTGTGGGAGGGCGTTGATGTAGGTGGTGTGGTGGTGTGGGGTGGGGGGGGGGGTGTTGAGACAGGTGTGGGGGGAGGCTGGGAGCGTTGAGGCATGTGTGGGGGGAGGCTGGGAGCGTGGAGGTAGGTGTGGGGGGAGGCTGGGAGCGTGGAGGAAGGTGTGGGGGGAGGCTGGGAGCGTTGAGGCATGTGTGGGGGGAGGCTGGGAGCGTGGAGGCAGGTGTGGGGGGAGGCTGGGAGCGTGGAGGCAGGTGTGGGGGAGGCTGGGAGCGTGGAGGCATGTGTGGGGGGAGGCTGGGAGCGTTGAGGCATGAGTGGGGGGAGGCTGGGAGCGTGGAGGTAGGTGTGGGGGGAAGCTGGGAGCGTTGAGGCATGTGTGGGGGGAGGCTGGGAGCGTGGAGGCAGGTGTGGGTGGGAGGCTGGGAACGTGGAGGCAGGTGTGGGGGGATCCTGGGAGCGTGGAGGCAGGTGTGGGGGAGGCTGGGAGCATGGAGGCAGGTGTGGGGGAAGGCTGGGAGCGTGGAGGCAGGTGTGGGGGGGAGGCTGGGAGCGTGGAGGCAGGTGTGGGGGGAGGCTGGGAGCGTGGAGGCAGGTGTGTGTAACAAGAGCGCAAGTTGTCTCTGAGACAGAAGCTATACTGCAGCGATTTGTCAAGTATACTGTTGGGTGTTACCTCAGCAAGTATACTGCTGGGGTGTTGCCTCAGCAAGTATACTGCTGGGTGTTGCCTCAGCAAGTATACTGCTGGTTGTTGCCTCAGCAAGTATACTGCTGGGTGTTACCTCAGCAAGTATACTGCTGGGTGTTGCCTCAGCAAGTATACTGCTGGGTGTTGCCTCAGCAAGTATACTGCTGGGTGTTACCTCAGCAAGTATACTGCTGGGTGTTACCTCAGCAAGTATACTGCTGGGTGTTACCTCAGCAAGTATACTGCTGGGTGTTGCCTCAGCAAGTATACTGCTGGGTGTTGCCTCAGCAAGTATACTGCTGGGTGTTACCTCAGCAAGTATACTGCTGGGTGTTGCCTCAGCACAATGCATCCATGTTTCTGTGATTGCAATATACCTTATTTCTGACCTCTAACTCTTCCACTATATATGTATACCCCTGCTATATGTGTAGTATACTTTTTGTATGCTCTATGTATACCTGTGTCCCACTTTGTGACCTTTAAAGTCGTTGTTATTTTTGACTGAAACCCCCAGACCATTGTCCTCCAGTAGCACATATATAACCCCTGATATGTATAACATACATATATATATATATATATATATATATATATATATATATATATATATATATATATGTATGTATGTATATATATATATATATATATATATATATATATATATATATATATATATATATATATATATATATATAACCCCCGATATGTATAACACACATATATAACCTCTGAGAGACCCGCTCTACTTAGCCAAGGTTGCCACCTCTGTCCTAGACAAATGCACAACCTCCCTTACCTTGTTTTAATATTCCCCCTTGCTTTGCTTCCCCTTGCTTGGCTTTGAATCGAAACTCTCTCCCGATTCTATCTATAGTGTTAAAAGATGTACAGGTTTCGTGAGAGGATGTGTAACTGCTTGCTAAATTATAGCCCAGGATGGTGCCCATTGGCTGTTAAGATGTTGTTCAGCATTTTGGGGTCATTCCGGCAGCTTGAGTGGGCGCCAGTGTCCAACTGTTAGTATTCCTTATGACAAAATGCCCGGTCCCTAAGCACCTTGGGCCAGATTCACGAAGCAGTTACGCAAGCACTTACGAACCTGTCCATCTTTTCTCAATCTTTGGCGGCTTTGTTTACAATTATTAAACAGTTAATGAGCTCCGAAGCACCAGGAGGCTGTTTATAACAATAACAACAGTTGATTGGGAAGTTCTCATGTTTGTAAACTGTTTAATAAATGTAACCAAAGCCGTCAAAGATTGAGGAAAGATGTACACGTTCGTAAGTACTTGCGTAACTGCTTCGTGAATCTGGCCCCTTGTTATCGTTGTGTTATACCTGCCACAGTGGGTATACCTCCCTTGGCTGTGCCTCACGGGTATATCACTCTACCGTCCTCACTCCTGTCTATCTGTGCCCGTCCTCAGTCCTGTCAACCTCTGCCCGTCCTCACTCTCTGTCTATCGGGGCCTGTCTGCCCCAGCGTTACCACTCTGCCAGCCTCACTCCCGTCTATAACACAATTGTAAACTTGTGAATAAAAATGTTGGCAACACTGCCCCAGATTCCTGGCTCCACGGCCTCATTTGCATATGACAACGTCTTATCCTCTCCCTCCCCTCCTCCATCTTTCTCTCGCTTCCTCCTTCCTTAATTGCTGCTTTCTTATTTCCTCCATTCTTGCTGCCTCCAACACATCTTTTAGTCGCTTTGTTCCTTCAAGGATCTCGGACGTAGGTTCGAATCCTCGTCGCGGCCCTTGTGGATTTGTTCTTCAAGGGTATATCAAGTGTTCTTGGAATACCCCCAAGGAACCAGGACACGCAAGGACGCGATATATCTTGGTATACCATGTTATAAGGTATGTCCTGGCATACCACAGCTGCTCTTGATACACCACGTGTGTTCCTGCGCACCTGTTCCAAGCTGAATACTCGCTGCTTTCAATAATGTCTTCCTTCATTCCTTTTAGTTCGCTATATTCACCTCACAAAAAGTTCTTTCACTATATTAACCTTTGTGTGAGGTGTTCCTCTGTTTGTTGACCAGACCACACACTAGAAGTTGAAGGGACGACGACGTTTCGGTCCGTCCTGGACCATTCTCAAGTCGGACCATTCTCAAGTCGGACCATTCTCAAGTCGGACCATTCTCAAGTCGGACCATTCTCAAGTCGGACCATTCTCAAGTCGGACCATTCTCAAGTCGGTGTTCCTCTGCTTCATTCATTCATTTCCTTCCCCGACTCTAGTCTGCCTCATTTGGTTACGACAAGCCATTGTTTTTGTTTCCCTCTCTAGGCATAAGTTGGGCAATGTTTGGAAATGGAACGAAGAGAGTAGGCTACAGAGAGAACGGAGATACTCCCTCCACTGTGGAGGAATTCATCCTCCATACCCCTCCCACCAGGGAGGAATTCATCCTCCATACCCCCTCTAACGTGGAGGAATTCATCCTCCATACCCCTCCACCGTGGAGGAATTCATCCTCCATACCCCTCTACCGTGGAGGAATTCATCCTCCATACCCCTTCCACCGTGGAGGAATTCATCCTCCATACCCCTCTACCAGGGAGGAATTCATCATCTATACTCCTCTACCAAGAAGGAATTCATCCTCCATACCCGCATCATCCCAAGCTTCCTAGGATGTGATGATTCTTGCTATAGGATCTTAATAGTGGTGGAATTCATCCTTCATATATCCCCCCCCCCTCCCTATCTGATATCTCTTCCCTAGCTTCCTAGGATGTAATAATCCAAGCTAAACGATCTGCGCCGTGAAGGGATTCAACCCCAGGAGCTCCTCCTGCTCCTCTCTCTCTCCCCCCTAGTTACCAGGGACGGACTGATCCCGGATACCCGGTAATATGAAGCCAATAACATGTAATCAAACACACATACACCCACATGTTGACGCCAATGTGCATTCCTCCACCAGCGGAAGAGTAACAAATTCAAATCCAATACCTTCTATAATTTCGTTGCTTCAAATAATCCTACACATGATCTGGTGGGTATAATCAGAGTAATAACTAATTTACTGCTGTTGTTATAGCAGAGATGAGCTGTGATAATCTCGGCGATCACTATAAGGAAGTGATCGGAGTAAGTAAGGAAGTTATCTCGGAGATAACTATAAGGGAATTCCGACGTGTTTGTTGACATTGGGTTGGGAAGTGGTGGCTTAGGGTGTATAGATGTGTGAGTGTGGCTCATCATCTGTGGGTAATGATGAGTATATTTCTTATTGTCATGGCTTAGTCAGGGTTAGAGCCTTCTTTTGATAAGTGCCTTACATTAGATACACTCCCCATTGTATAGGGTGGGGGGATATATCTTTGATACTCTCCCCATAGTATAGAGTGGGAGGGGGGATATATCTTAGATACACCCCCCATAGTATAGAGTGGGGGATATTTACCTTAAATACATCCTCCCATAGTATAGATGTGAGATCCTTTCCTCACTCCCACACTAGACCTGGGAGAGCAATCCCATCCTACTCCCTCTTCCAGAAAGCAGTACACGGGACCCATCACCCTTTCTCGTGTCGTGAGAGGGGTGGAGGAGTCTTCCCCCTTTTCCAGAGCAAGGAGGTGAGTCCTTCTCCCCTTTCCAGACCAATGAGAGGCATCCTTCTCCCTAGTGTGGGTGAGGACAGAGATCCTACTCTGGACGTTGTCGTGGAGCGCGATGGGAATTTGCACGGAAATCCTCAATTTTGGTGTCTCCTCTGATGGAGTTGGCAGGAGCCACTCTCACTACCAGGCTCCTCTGGTAGCCTCCATCTCTTCCCTATCACTGTTCCTCTCTCTCTCTCTCTCTCTCTCTCTCGTACCTTCTCTCTCTCTCTCTCTCCTCTCCTCTACTCTCTCTC